CTTTATGATTATTAGGATTAAGTGAAGTGATTATMATAAAAGAAATACATGATACTATGTAGTGGGGCCTATWCAACTATTATGCATCTAAATAAATCAATGTATGATATATCATATATAACATATATGTATATATGACATATACTATAAAGTCAAYTTGAGGTTAGTGCCCGAGGTTTTAACCCTAGGGGTGGATTTGAGTTGAGTCAAGCCGAATATCTAATTATTCGAGCTCGACTCACGAATACATGATAAGGCTCAAGCTCGAGCTCGATCTCAATTCTAGCTAGACACTTGAGCCCGAATTCGGCTTGAGCCAAAAGCTCATATTTGAGGTCAACTTGGCTCAAGCTCGACTACGAGCCTAATATTTTATAAAAATAAAATTAAACATTTAAAATTTATTTTTATACTTGACATATAAAAAATTAAGAATTATAAAAATGAGTTATTATATATATATATATATGTATGTATGTATGTATACATGCATATGTGTATATATGTAAAAACTCGATTTGGGTACTGAGCCTAATGAGTTGAGTATTGTTAGGCTCAAGCTTGACTTAATTAGCAAACAAGCCTATATATTAGACTCGAGCTCGACTCGAAGCTCGATTTAGACCGAGTTGAATCGTGATTTGCGGCCACTCCTAATCAACCCTAACCCAATCTGAAGTAATGTGTGGTTCATGAATTTCAATCCTAACCTTAACCCGAACATCCACCCAACCGAACCTTTGGGTTAGGTTAGGGTTGGGGTCGGGCCAACCCAGTCCAAATTGTAGCCTTAAAGAAAAGTTTGTAATTTGCCAATTTATAGTTTCAAACCATTGTTTTACATCTCTTGTACATGGATTGGTGTGTGAGAAGCGTGTGATTTGAATAAGACCCCACAAGAGTCAAGCCATTCACCGCTTGGTAGGAGTAGGGTGATTCAGTAGCTAGTTAGATTAGAGAATATTAATAGGGGCAAAAAGTACGCCTAGTTTATCTAATTAACTAACTCCAACCCTACTGTTTGACTATTTTCTTAAAAAACTCCTATTATTTCCGATAATTGACTATCTCTTTACCCCTATCGTTAACCATAAATATTTTTAAAACCCAATACTACCCTCTATCCCACTTCTCTTCAACATTCTCTTCTTTGACAGCGAAAATGTACTAAAGCATCATTACACACCCAACCACGGTCTGTAACTTCCGTTCCGCCACCAGAA